CCCGGAGGCCGCGATGCGGGAGGACAGGTCAGGGAGGGAGTGCGAGCCCGCCGTGAGCCGCGAGGCCTCCGCGGAGAGCGTCGTCCGCGCGTTCACGGCCGTGGAGGCGAGATAGCGAAAGGAGTAGATGTTCTCCGTCGTGGAGACGATCTCGTCGGAGTAGAGGAGCAGGAGTCGGCCTGGGATGCTCGCGAGCTTCTCCAGTACCACATTTTGAAGCCCCACCACAAGAAAGCCGTGCATGACGCACTCAACAACGTTTTTGGAGTGGAAGAGCGCGGTTAGGTTCGTCGCGGCGGCGAGCCGTCGCCCGAGTGGGTGCCGCAGCAGTATATTCCGTTGGGTAATACCCATTACAAAGTTTTCGAATGTGATGTAAAGATTTTGGGATAGCCGCGGGCTGACAACGCAACAGACCCCACTGCCAACTACACTTGTGTACCTCGACGGGAAGAGATAGTTTCCGTTGTTCTTGAATGTGTTTCCCTTGATCACAAGCTGCTGATCCTGGAAGAAGTGCATCAGTGAGACGATATCTTCCTCATCCACCTTGACATTACTGCATTTAAAAACTCGTTTAAGTTCCTGTAGATCGATCACACCCATATGGTCTTGATCCACCTTGTCGAACGCGGCCCGCAGCTGCCGTACAACCTCCCGCTCCACCTCGTCCATCTGCGTACCAATGATGTTCGCGAGCTGAAATTCGCTACTGTGGGTAAAAGGAGCGTTCTTAAGGTCTTTTTTCACCCACGCATCACGGAACTGCTCAAAGGTGATTTCCTTGCTTTCGGGATCGCCGGTGAAGAGGTTAACAAGCTCGGAGACCTTGTCCGGGCCTACAACGTCGCCGTGGAGATAGGTCAGCATATCCCGGATCTGGTCGCGCGTAATCTTACCGTATCCGTCGGCGTCTATCTTTCTGAAAGCGGTAGCGATCGCCTGCTCCTCATCCGGAGTCACGACATGGCAGGATGAGGAGAAGTCGAGAAATGATAGCGGGCGAGAGATGGGAACGACCGAAAAAGATGACGCCGATCCGTTGTAGGAGGTGGGGGAGGCCGGTACGAAAAGTCCATGCTCCGTCATCTCTACTCGTAGCTCCTCGTCTCGGTGCGGAAAATCCGCCTCGAGGTTGATATCCTTTGCAAACCATTTATTAAAAATGATGTTGTCAAGCGATGGACGGTCGGTCGGATCCAACGCGAGCATTTGCTGGACTAAATGACGGGCCTCGGGGGAGATCCGCGCCACCTCTTCCTCCGTCCAGGAGTATTTGCCGTTTTGAATAAGGTAGAGTGTTTCCTCTTCGTCACGGCCATCAAAAGGAAGGCGCCCGGTAAGCATGAAAAAAAGAAGCACGCCGGCGCTCCATAGGTCTTGCTGGAAGGGATCCACAATAATTTTCTTGCGTTTTGGGGAATACATCACCTGGGCTTCGTCCTGAATTTGGGAAAAGGAGCGCGATTTATGTGTTAAGCTCGGCATCTCATATGCGTTTTCGGGCGCTAATTTACCAGCTAACAATCCTCTGCCAAAGTTTCCTCGGGATGAGAGTAATTCCTTTCGTTGATGGGACAACTTTCGTAAGTTTTGAGTGTTGCTTCGCCCGCTCGTTGTGGCCCAACGTCGGTGATGGGTCCTGCGCGTGCGCATGCTGGTGCCGCCATTCCACTTCGAGCGAGAACGCTTAGTTGTGCTTGTTTCTGGGCTAAAAAGTGCAGAGGTCTTGCCTTTTCGCAGTTTGACAGGCTTAGGAGAGCCTGAGAAAGAAAATAAATTCATCATTAATTTTTTTGTTTTACTCACGTAATGTGGAGAGGATAATTCACCCGATCGATATTGCTGAGTAGACGAATTGGTCTTGTCCCGAATAGTGGAAGTACTACGAGGTCTATTGGAGCCTAAATGATTGGTAACTCCTCCACGGAGCTTCACCTTTTCTGTGTTTAGAGAAGGACTCGATTCGTTCTTTGCGAAAAGAGCTTCAGCTTCAGCAGTGCTTTTTCCCAACCCCGCGTTCTTTTTCCCTGTAGTATTCTCCACTGGGGAGGCTGCGTTGTCTAATTTGCTGCGTTCGCCACCGGCATTCCGCTCCAGCTTATCCTTTGAAACCTTCGACGACAAATTTTGAGAAGGGCTCAACATGGAGGCGGGGTCGGCGTACGTCGCCTTGGAATCCTGAAGGTTGCTATGCCGCCCTGCTTGTGGTTGTAGAGAGTTTCCTAAAGCACAGTTCAGGTTACTTTGCCCTGTAGTACTGTAGCGGTTCATGTTGAATAACTTTGGGTGGGCTACCGATGGAATCCACTGTGGGGATTGTGCACCGGCGAGGTTCATAGCAAACGATTTGGCCAACTTTGATGACGTTCCCAAAGAAGGGAAGCTCGTCGACGCAAGCAACGAATCCATTTTTGATACCCTCCCGTTCACAGAATCAGTAAAATAAAACCCTTCATTTTCCTGACGACCCGCCATGCCATCCGCTCGCTCACCCCAAAAGTCAAGTTGTAAAGTCGTATCATCCGAGGAAGACGCCAGAACGGCCTCAGGGCTCATGTAATGCATCGTCCCGACAATCGAGCAGTCACTTCCTTGTAAAAATTCACTCCCGATTCCGCCTTCAGTCGGTTCGATCGTGGCGCTTCCCTCAGGATCATCCACATTCCGCTTCACCGCACGCGAACAGAAACCAAAGTCGCACACCAAAAGTCGCTTACTGTTATCAAGCAGAAGATTTTCAGCCTTGAGATCTTTGTGAGCCACACCACAGCTATGACAATAATCAATCGCAGAGATGAGCTGCTGGAAGTAGTGCCGTGCTTCGGTTTCACTGAAGTAATGCTTTAAAAGGATCAAATCAAACAGCTCCCCACCCTCCCCAAGTTCCATGATGAAGTAAAACGCCTCGGTTGAATTCAAAAATTTATAGACCTTCACAACATGTGGGTGTTCCAGCGATTGCGAAACGGTTGCTTCTTGGATAATGAGCTTTTCCATACGATTTATAAAGGATTGTTGGATCGACAAAGCACAACCTGTTTTTTGCATGTGGTTGGGGAATCTGGGGTAGAGGGATTGCGTTTTGATACCCTTATTGTAAAGAACGTCGTGACCCTCGGCAGAATCTGGCGTATGTGAATATTGTGTTGACAATTTACTATTCTCTGATAATATTGACCTATTTACTGGTGTAATCTGCGCAAATCCATGAAATAGCGTGTCTTTTTGTAATATTTTAAGGGCAAACACCTCACCTGATGGAATATACTTTGCCATATAGACTGAGCCATAAGCGCCCTCACCAATGCGCTGTCCGACAAAATAGTCTTGGAGAACTTTGGATTCATCCTCGAGAACAGCTCTACCCGTGAATGCGGACGCTACTGTGGTGAATTTAACCGCACGTTTAGTTTTAGTCATTTGGAAAATGACTATTATCGTATACTATGACTTCTTTTTCATACAATAATGAATAAATGTTATATCATTCAAGAGAACAGCAATTCATTAGGAGAACTCACATTTAGTGTTTGAAGAGGAAAAAAGGAAGACAAAAAAAAGATTATCTTCGTTCTTCAATTCCATTTGCACAAGTATACACACCTGATTAGGAACCTGAAAGTGTAAAAAATAGTAAAGGAGAACTCACAGATATACCTATTCATAAATATGAATATGCTCCTTTATTTTGCATAGAGAAAATAAATCTATTGGCTAATCAGTTTAAAATTAACCTCGATAAATCTTTTATTTACTGACTGTAAATCTATAGCGGTAGAAATCTATATCTATGCTTTTCACAAGTGGACAATTAATGTTTCATCTGTGGTTGAGGTTCTCTTTTCTTATCGTTGCACATTCACGCTACATCAATAATTGTGCGTTCCCTCCGTAAGAGTCCTCTCGTGCTCAGTCAAAGAATGTGTTGGTTGAAACCCTCGTGGCTTTAAATATAAAGGTGTCCTAATAGAGTGAGTGATTCCCGATATATTTGGTAAGGTTGACTTGGGTAAGAGCTTGGCGCCAGTGCTGTGATTACTCTGGTTGAAGAAATATCTATTAGGTGCCGTCTGGGAATGGCAAGAAAGCAAAGGACCACCTCTGCTATTCTGCCAAGCCCATGCCTCCTGATCATCGGGAAAATATAAATCCATATTGGAGAAGTCCAAACGACGGGAGGGAGTCATGCCTGTAGCAGAGTTTGCCTCCACGGAGGTACTACCATCAAAAACTTCGCACTCAGGTGGAGTCTCTTCAAAGAATGGGTATATTTCAGAACTTAAATGCGCGTCCTTTAGTCCTTCTTTGTTGGTGTAATCATATGTTGGATTGGAGAATCGTCGATTATCAAAACTCTTGGAAAGATCTTGGACCGAAGTATTAGCTGAATTGATAATTCGTCTCTTTTCATATTGCACTTCACTTCGATCTAATACATTTCTCTCTGTAGTGTCATAGGAGACTTCTTGTTGGCCAAGGCCGCTGCAAGAGGACGAAGGGAACATATTGCGGTAGTGCTGTAAATAGTAACGATAATAAGAATCGGTAGTATGGTATTGTAGAATTTCTGGTAAGAAATTTGGGAGAGACGCTTGTTTCCTAACCTGGAAAACAACGGGTTCCATTAACGTATCCCCCCTAGTCTCTCTAAATGGCGAGGACAGAGTAGACATACAGCGACGGATAGACGAAATCGATTGAAAAGTCACTTCTTCAGTCGTGCCTAGTATATCTCTTGTTGTGGGAGCTACGGAGGGTTGCTCCCCAACACGAGTGGTCGTTATGTTGAACATCCGCTAGGGGTATTCTCCTATATATATTTTTCACAAAGACTCGCAAAACGTCTATGAAAATCGAAAAACAATAAGGCAATATGTACAGAGTATGAAAAAGATGCATCAACAGTTAAATAAAATTTAAAAATAATGAAAGAAAAAAACAGAGAATGTTTTGTCAGACATCAAGAAGAAAGTAATGGACTTGAAATTAAGTGGCTCGAATAAAGGGCAAGTGTCATCTCAGTTGATTTTCCATTTTCTATTTTTCTTCAATGTAAACATATTTCTGAATTTATATTTTCATCGTATACCATCAGAAAATCTGTGATATACTTAGATATCTGAATAGATTATGATTTAAGTATAAAAAAATATATTAATATTCTGTAATAATGATGCCTATTTTTTCAAACATATGAAAAGGTATATTCACCATTTTTTTTTCAGGAAAAGAATAATCAAAGTTAACTCTGAGGATAATGAAATAATAATAGATAAATAAATAATAAATAATAACATAGTCTAAGTGAAGAATGAGTAATGGTATAAATGATTAAAGGTAAATCAAAAAATCTGTGTCGATAGGGTTCCTTCTTAGGTAATCCAAATATGCACATAAAGCAACTTTGACTTTACTACGACTGAATTTTTTATACTAATAAGTATTAGAGAGGGGAAAAGCAAATTGTTGTTCCTGAAATATTGTGATAGAATTAATGCACATGATAAAAAGTCTAAATTTCTTTAGAATACGATCACTGTTTGGTAAAGAATTTTACCACTATCCTTTTTATCTCAGTGCATGAACCCGGGTCTAAGAATCTCAGCAGCTGTGGTATTTGAAGTCCTACGCCTGTTGAAAGAGTTGATGAGAAAACTACATGCCAGAAGCGCAATAAAAATTATAACGGCCCATCCAAACACGAATTTTATTGTCCCGTCGATATTTTCCTTTATCGTGTTCTTAATGTAACTCAATAATGTGAAAAGTGGTTTCAGGAGGCCGGAGCTGTTGTATTCACCACTCACAGGGACAGACTTTGTTTCGTTCCTTCCTGATCCACTACTGTCATCCGGTATCCATTCATTCCTTTCTCTTTGTTTGGTCTTGAATTCTATTTTCTTCTTATCCTGGACGTGTCCTTCTGAATTTTTAAGTATAACCTCGCAGGTGCCCGTGCTTGTGTGGCTGACGTCTTGAACGTCTAAATTAAAACGGAGCTCTCGAACTTCTGAAGGTTTCAGAGAAACAATTTGTGCAGGAATAGGGAAGACAACTTCAGAACACTCTATCGATACTGTAAAGCGGGAAGAAACGGTGCCGGTGTTTTTGATCTTGACCAAAATATCGACGTCTTTACTATTGTCCATCACCTCATTTTGTGTCAGATTAGCGCTCATGATGATGGCTGGGGAAACTGATAGAATGTAACGGAGGTCATCTGCCGAAAGGGTTAGAACAATCACAGATGAAGGAGAAGATGTGGCAGTATAGCTGAGGTAACGTGTCGTCTTGGAGGTTTTCCTATTGTGAAAAGTCTCCAGGGTGAAATTTCCCAATGAGTGGGCCATGCATTTACCTTTTCTCCCTGAGGCAATAGCCTTCTTATCCATTGCACGGTAGTCATCGAGCTGGAAGTTGAGACAGCTGCCATATGCCTTACGACACCGATTGGACTGCGTTGCAAAAGCCTCATAGCTCACCCCCACCTTGTCACAGGTGAGACCGTTCAGTGTCACGAGTGATTTATCCAGAATCATCCATTCAGCCGATCCTTCGCGAATAGGATCCCCTTTTGAGCCCACTGTTGGGGCAAAGAACATGCTTTGAGTGAGGCTTAAGGGTTGAGTGTCAGGCAACAGACCACCTACCACAGTCGCGATGGCACCGAATTTCTTGGAGGTGACAACCGGGTTTTGGGGAGTAAGTAACAGTGTGCTGTTCACCTGCTTCAATGAAGAACCAACATCAAGGGATGTCGATGCGACAGATTTACCCAGTCGAATCTTTATTGTGTAATCGATCAAGTACGGGCCGATACTATACCCATCATACCAATGCTTATTATGGCGTAGACATGATGCAGTCGAGAACTGTCCGAAAAGGTCGCAGCTTCGTTGGGATCGAATGTTAGGCGAACATAAATTCAATATTTGACAAACGTCACAGCTACAACAAAACCCTTGTGAATATTGAATGGGTTTACCCTTTGCTTTGGCAAGTCCACACGTCGCGGATTCAACAAAGTCATCACTGCAAGGGGTTAGAAAACTAGTACCGATTTGTTTTTCATAGGGCTTAGAATTGAAGATTCTTTCATAATACAAAGGATACCGATAGCGCACATGCGTGCGGCTGATAGAAACCTCAATAGGGTGGAAAGATACCTGCTCCGAAGATCCCTGTGTCTCATCCTTTGCAATCTTCAGGAGTTCCACTTTCTCTACATCTTCTATCTGATTTGCATCCACAGAAAGTACTACTACCAACTTTCTCACGCAATTCAGTGGATCCTTGCCATCATTAGTGCAGTACTGGATGTTTGAGGATGAAATAAGAGTCGCTGCCGCGAGGTGTGATTGCATTAACAAAAGATTTATCAGAATAAGAAACCAGGCAACAAGGCAGTAAACCAAGATGAGCTTGGAGATGAAACCTAGAGGTATAAGCGTAAAGTTAATTCTCCATCCAGCGTTTTGAGAACATTTCATCGGATAAAGCAAAGTGAAAAAAAAACTGTATCGTTGTACTCTAAGTTAAATTATCGATTTTTGAGAAGATATATCTCGTTCCTTGAGAAAGTCGAAGAGATATACTCGTATTTTTAGTTTGATAAGGAAAATCGAAAGCTGACCCTATATACGAATAAAATAATAATAGTAGTAATAGAGGCAATATTAACGTTATAATTCTAAGAACATTGACGTAAAACTTTTCCTAATGAGTAATGGTTTCCGTAGGAAAGCATCATTAGTCTATATATTGATTGTATGCGTAAGAAATATTGTAATAAAGCGTCTTCACGCAAATTGTTCGATATACAAAAAAAAATCCTCATTCCATATAACCTCGACCAACGTTCGAAGAAGAGGCATTTAATGGTATCATAGTTAAAAAGGCATGTTTACATATTTTGTCCATGAGCTCTTATAAAGTTTATTATACGTTTTCTCATAATAATTCATTGATGATAAAAAGGTAGCACCATCTACTCAGGCGATGGTAATTAAAAGTGAAAAGATTCTAATGCAGAGCATCCATAGTGTTCACAGTTTAGGCATTGAAGATAACATCGTTCGATCACCTTCAACTCCATCCATCTTCATAGTTGGTTAAAATAGAAATGTTAGCTTATCAATCAGCGCTTCCAAGCTACTTTCAACAAGTAAATTAATTTTCAGCCTTTATTTTCTCATTTTTTTTTAAACGTCCGCCAAAGGTTAGGTGTGTCCTGATGTAGCCAAATACACAGTCGCCTAGTAGTGTAAAGAGCTTGGGCTACTTAAATCACCCACTTCCACATCTTGCTCGCGGGCTCAATGAGTTCAGCAACTTAGACGAAGTGCTTTGCCATCCCTATAAGAAATTACATGAATATATTATATACTGCAACCCTCTGCAGATGTAAAAGACCTATTTAGATACCATCTAAGCAAAGTGCTCTGGTGTTAAGAGATGAAAAAGTCCTTTTTTATATGTTTTATTATTTCTTAGGATTTATATTTTTGATAAGTTGATATGAAACACTAGGTAGAGTTTAATCAAGAACAAAGAAGATATACTATAACACATAGAGTAGGCACTACAAGACTAGATCTGACGTAGTGGCTGAAATTGAATTCTGCCCCCCATAAGGAGCCTGGTCTCAACAGAAAGAGCTTGTGGTTACTAAAACACCATTTTGATGGTGTTGAAATATACATATATGTTATTCTTGGTACGTATGCAATTTATTAATTCAGTTTTGATGAAACATGAGAAAACACATACTATTGGACCAAGCTTCTATCAGGAATGTGTGTGGGGATGCGGTGAATTTGACTTTAAAGCTGCTAGCCTGTTTTTCATTTGACATGTAGACGCTGAAGTATAACAATGCGTTTGCATTGCATCAACTATTTTAAAGAGTATAGAAATTCACAAACGCGATTATATTCTTATTCAAGCTGACATTGAGAGTTAAATTTACATATAAAATTAAATGGATTTGAACCATTTATTTTTTTCCTTTCAAACATCAAGCGACATTATTCGATCCAACAGAAGGGCTATTGAATTTAAATAGCTTCAGTGATATCTTGAATGATTTTTCACTTTTTTTTTATTAATAGCAACTTCTGTCCTTGCTACTTCAGATTTCGCTAATTATTTCAAGATCACCAAATTAATTTTCTAAAATTGCCACTTCTCTAGTTCCGATTGTAACAAAATATAAAATCACTGAATTGATAGCTTATAAAAAGCTTAATCATTGTAGAATGTTTACATTACCCATTTGATCGTTGTAGTTACCTTACTGTACAGGTTTGTCATTAGTTTTAATTAAACCGAAATAAAATGCGTACTCATCTGAGTATATACAATTAGTATTAGTAGCTTTATCCTGAGGCTTGCATACTTGATATAAAGCTCGTGCAGGGAATCGTGTCCCAAAGGTTTTCGCATGAAGCCCGTGAGCCACGTCACTTGCGATACTTCGGCTGTACAACGTTGTGTCATTATAGTGCATCCCTGAACCAGGATAGGTCGCGGCCTCCGCCATAGTCCCCAGCGGCATCCCATTTCGTGTGTGGAAATCCCCTTTGTAGAAGATCGTTGAGCAAATCTTGGGGTAGATGAGTTTGTTGTCCGGGTGGTAGTGGCCGGGGCCTGGCGAGGTGTTCATTCGTTTCCCCGAGAGGCTCACCCCATACGTGTCGTACTGCTGGGCCGCGGCCAGCTCCGCGTTCGCCATCTCCACACACGCATGGGGACTACCACTCAGTATCGCGCACGGCGATCGTGGTTGGACGGCGTTATATTTGAGATCATAGTTCGCGGGCCCTGGCGCTGAGTCTTTGATGTCTTGACCTAAAGGATTCTTGTCCTTTCCATCTCGCGATGCAGAACGTTTCTGGATATCGTCTGAGGATTCTGCACCATAGGGACGCGATGCAAAGCGTCCGCCAGACGGTAGCGTCCGTGCGTATTGTTCAGATAGATGGAATGAGCCAATCCTTTGTGTACAAGGACGTGTACTATTTGAGGATTTGATATTTCGATCATCTTGCATATTATTAATAGAATTGCATTGGTCTGGCCAGTTCCGACCCAATATTTTCACGCCTTTTCGAGAGTCCTGCGAAAAGTCTGAGGGAAGTGTGATACAATAATATTCGTTCTCTGCTGCGCGCCAGCTATTACTACCACCCTTGCCCCCGCCCTTTAGTCGATCTTTCTGGCGTGCTGATGTATTTAAAACTGTGGGTGATCGCATGACTACTGATGAGTGATTTTTGAGTGGATCAAGAAAGTCGGCAGCTTGGGTTATATTGTACGCCCCCGGCCCCGGGAGCATGCTGCTGCGGTAGTCGTCTCGTGAAGAATCCGGGCGGTTGCCAAACGTGCTCACGCCTGAGAACTGCTGGTAAGGGGAAACTTGTTTATGCAGGCGGTGAGAGATGGTAGTAGGGTCTCCATACGCACTATGCCCGGACCCGCTTATACGAGCAGAACCTTCCTTTCTGCCACCACTTGTAGCACAACGGTCGGTACGGCCAAGTATGCTTATCGCCCTCCCACTAGTTACGGGAGTTACATTGTACGCACCAGGACCTGGAATAAGTTTTTTTTCTCGTTCTTCGGCTGTTTCGTAGCGACCACTAAAGGTTCCCTTTAATCGATTTTTTCGCGTTGGGCTATCAAAACAGCTGGGCAGGGTGTAGGTACCTGAGCATACATTATTGGGATTGACATCGAAATATCCTTTCAGGCGCCCCCTCATAGTGAATGCAGGGCTTCCGTAAAGCGGTTGGCGCGCCTCTAAAATCTCCTTTTTGATTTCAGACGAAGGTTTCAAAAGGTTTGGGGACGCATTACGCGATCTTTGCGCTGACTTCGCAGAGGCGCTGTTAGAGCCGAAAGTTACACTCTTTATCTGGGAAAATGTTTTAGGATCAGTATTAGATGAGTGCGGACCGAAGTCCGCCGCGCTCCCAGTGCCAATGCTGGAGGCAATGATATACGAGCCAGGACCCACTGCCGCTGAGTTTGCTAAAGACGTGCCGTTATCTTTGGGACGGTTGAAAATGCTCTTTTTAAGACTATCTGAATTAGGCCCAATAACTGATTTCAAGTCATATTGACAGGGACCAGGATGGGCTTCGCGTAGGCGCAAATGGGCATAGTCGATAAAGCCACTATTTGGCATTGCTATTTTGATGTAATATATAAAAGAGCGTGAACACACCTTTATTAAAGTTAAATTTGTCGTTCTTAAACTCAGTTTAAAATGCTGCCGATCCAGATGGTAAAAAGTAATATGCTTTCGCGCAATCAGCAAGGCCTAATAAATAAAAAAATGTCCCCCCAAAATCATAATAGACAGAAAAAAAAGATGAATGATTACTGTAAGTCTGAGAATGTGGATAACAATTTTGAATTAACTATCATATTATGTCCGACAGGTATATATCTTTTATTTAATTATAAAATAAAATAAAATGACATATCATGAACAAACGAATGCGAATCAAAGAGTACTTGACGCAGAAAAGGTTTTTTAGGCGGACGCGACGGGTGCGGCGGCTTCAGCGACCTCCACTTCGCGGGCTTCGCTTTCGATCGACGCGGGAATTTCACCGTGGGCGGCCAGCAACGCCTGAGCGTCGAACTTGGGCACACGCACCACCTTCACCTTGCGGATGCGCAGGTCTCGGATCGGGACAATAGGGTTGCAGCGCTTGCTCAGCTTGTCCGTGAGGGTGTTGGTCGTCAGCAGCATTACCGCCTGGTTGATGTTCACCTTGGCGAGCCAGCGCACCGTCATCGTTGTGATGCGGTGGCGAATCCACTTCACCAGGCGCTGCTTGGCGTAGCAGTTGCGGGAGAGCTGGTTGTTCTGCTTCTTGGTGAAGGACACCACGAACAGCCGCAACATGTAGCCGTCCGCCGTGCGCGCCTCGACCACGGACTCCATCGTCGTGCACCACTTCCGCATGAGGCTGCTCATGCGGTCGGTCGTCATTTGCATGGAATGAAAGCGCGTCAGCAGGTTGCGACCCTGCACCTCCTGCACACCAAAACGGATCTTGCGGTAGGCATCGTCCTGGTTGTCCGTCTGGTTGATGTCCTTGAGGTTCACCTCGTAGACGCGGCCACGCAGCGAGTCGGCGGCGATGCGGGTGCCCAGGGTCTTATTGCAGATGGTCTTGGCAAACTGGCGGGTGCTGAAGTTGGCAGGCGCCACGACGTCGTACCACTCCTTGCGAGCCATCGCCTCCTGAACCTTTCCGCGCTTACCGCGCTTACCAAGGCGCTTGTTCTTACCAGTAGCCATTTGTGTAACTAGATGAGGAAAGACGAGTTCGATCTTTTATAGTATATTATAAAGACACAAACAAAAAGAGGGGGGTGAAGGTTGTGTGCGAGGAGGAGAGAGAGAAATCAAAAAAATAATTTTCAGCGTTAATACAACGGTGGTGTATATACGACTAGTAAGGCGTTCCACAGCGTATGTATTTTCTCACCCAAACATAAAGTAGGAAAGAGAATTTATGAAAAAAAAGGTTTAGGTTTGCGTTATCGTAATGATATATAGAATTAGAAGTCTTTGTCAATTTATTATTAAAGTAAGAATCCGTCTTTTGCAATTTAAATCAAATATATGTATGCAATTCCGTAGATAATAGAAAGTTGCCATCATTTTTGACCCCTTGTATTAGTGTCTACTTAAACTTGAAGTATGTCGTGCTCAAGATTTCATCCTCCATTTCAATATTTCCTAGACATAGGTGCCACCGATCAACGCGTCAACCGCTTTAGAGCTTAACATTCACTGTGCGATGAATACTTCACTGTTCATGGATACCCCTACAGCCGCCCCGCCGGCGTGATTACATGAAGTCACCCAACCACCCTGCCATGTCGTTTCGCACGTCGTGGCAGAGTTAAGCCGCGTCCGAAATGTTCCTTTTGGGGAATCCTCAGTGTCTTCTCCCTTTGTTTTGTTTGTCGTGGGGTGGTCAGTGGCCAAGGTGTGCTTTGAAGAGAGGGGAATAATGCGAACCTCCGCATCGATGCCGGCGCACGCGACTGCCCATCCACCCGCCAGCGACGTGATGCTCGCGATGTCGTATTTGAGCACATTCAACGAGGTCTGATGACGTGTGAAGTTGCGAAAGTCGTACACACACAACGCGCGGTCAATGCAGAGCGCGACTTCAAACGGGTTGGCGGTGCCGCAGGCATCTCTGATGGTCCCCGTGGCCTTGCTCAGGCGGCTCGCCACCAGTGAGGGCGATGAGCCCGCGTCCGCCTGAGGGCATCCGCCGTTGCCCACCTTCGACGCTGATTGCGGCTGCCCTTCATGCCAACTGGGGTCGAACATCGGTGTGGTGAGGTTCATGACCACCCCGGGGCAGCGCACATCAAAGAGGGTGGCGAGACTCCCCTCTGTGATGAGAACGGTATTCGCCAAGATCGAATTCGCGCCCGAGCCGGCCGCGTCCGCCGGGGATCCGCCGGGGACGAACATGCCGGTGGGGGCGTGGGTGGTGCCGTAGGTTCTCACCACCGTCCGCGCGGTGGGGTCCACCAAACGCAGGTCCGAAAAGCCCTCGCGCGCGGAGAATAAAAAACGGGTCCCGGGGCCGGGGGAGGCCCAGGCGAGGCCCGTCCATCCGCCAGACCCGCGCGAGACGCCCAAAAGCGACCGCACCCACCCGCCCTCGGCCCCGTCGTCCGGGGGATAGGCCATCGAGGTCAGGACGGACCTGGACGGGACGACCGACTCCCATGTCGTTTGGAGGGGGCCCAAATCATCGCGGAGGGGGGAGCGAGAGAAGGCCCCCGCACGGGGACCCCTGGGGCGTCGTTCGGGGTGATTGCCAAGGTCGATTGGTCGGGATCGTTTTTTCCCGGATGAGATCGACGGCGTCAATGCGTCAACCCCGTCCACCGCGCTGATACTCTCAGTCGAAGAGGCAAGGCCCGAGCACTGAAGTTTGTAGATGTTCCCCAACTCATCGCTCACCCAAACCGACGGCATCATACCAGGGATATCAGCCTTTTCGAAGGAAACACTATCATAAGCATCAAGTAGTATCGCTGTAATCCTTCGATCGGACGGGATCACAGAACTCAGAAAACATTGAGAGCTCGCTGAGCATTTCTTACGACACGACGCTGGGTCATTGTTCTCATCGCGATTCGCAGGGTAATGCCAGGCTGTCCTCTTGCCAGTTTCACCATCCACGGTAAGAAGACACGCCAGATCGTAAGTCGACAAACGCACTGGTGCTTTGGCGTCGCTTCGCCCTCCTTCCCGTTCTGCAGGGCCTCCAGTTGCGTTGTCAATACCCGACTCAGTACCACCCTGATTGTCGTTTCCCAGCAAACTAACCGAGGTTCCCATTTTCATTGTGGGATCGGATGTTACCCACGCGACATGAGCCCTGGAACTTCCTCGAAGATAAGTGCGTTTGAGGCTAAGTAGCTGGCCAGGCGAGGGCGATAAAACATTCTGGATAATAGAAAAGTAATGATCCATATTGAGATTTCCCTCTGATTTTGGTTTTCCGTTGACTTTGGAAACTATTAAGTTCGGAAGATATACTCACTCTCGTGAAAGGACTGAGACACTCTACCACCCCCTTCCCAAAAAATGACAAAAATCCTACTAACTTCGTTTAGAATTCGGAAAAAAACTCAGTTAGTCAGGACAACATTATGATCCAAAGGAATCTCATTAATTAATAAGGTTGAAAGCGGTTAAACACTTCAGAACCCTCAAGGGATGATCCATAGGGGAATATTCAAACATTTTTTTGGAGAGGAATTTAGATCATCTTAGCAATCAAATATAAAACACCAAATACATACTTCGCAATAAAGATATTTTGCAAATCACTGCATATTCAACAACATGGAGTAAGACTTCCCTTTTTTAAGCATGTAAACGAAACGTCCAAAAAGGTCGTTTTTTCTTTCCGATAGAAAAAAGACCGACATTCTTTCAATGTGTGAAAGAATACAACAGCTCAGGGTTTGAAAAAAAACGACAATTCATAAATATTTACTGATGGTCTTACACAAGCATGCAACCTAGCAAAAAAAAAGTCACTTTACCTTCCATGACACTCTTTTGTGTTCTATAAGGACATATAGACATAAAAAAAATCACCTCTAGCTTCCTTATTCGAGATTCTTCAGGTATTTAATATTCCTCAACCTCTTATATTTTTTCCTTTCTGAATCAGATGCATTTATATATCCTGTAGGATTATTTAATAAAAGTAATTGCCCGTTCAAAACATGAAGATATTGCTATTTACGCTAATCGTCCCCTTCTTCTGTCCCCACTTTATTTAATTTTACAACATTTGGTCTAATAAGGAAAACAAAGAGCAGGAAATCAAAGCACATAACCAACCAGGTATAGAAAGGGAAGGTGGGACTGCCCTTTTAGTTCATAGGGATCAATGCTTCGCCGAACTAGAATAATTTCAGTTTACGAATAACAATAAAAGGGACCAAGGTAACATTTTACCGAAAAAAAGAGAGGGAACATGGGAAAAAAATGTGCAAATCGAGCAAACATATAACCTAGGTAAAATATAAAAAAGCTATTTATCATTGATAAACTCATATACATTTTTGCATGCTATTTGTTTCCTATTTTTTTTCGTCGCTAAGATGACAATGTAGCTAAGAAAATATTAGCGAATAAAATATATACGCATGCAAAAGCGCACGTAATACATCCCCCACATCCTTCAGCATGTTGTTTGGTCCCTTCTTTGGTATTTGAGAAAGAGTTTAGTTTGGGGGTGGGTGGCTCTCGTCCTTATCCTGTGCTAACTTCGATCGTTGTTCCTTTAACCAACTTAGGATATATGCTACAGCGTTATGGGGTCGATTCTGGAGGAGGTCTGTGCTTAATTTTTCGAAAAGCTGTGGCACACAAGACTCGTGAAAGAACTCTTTAATATCATTCTTCACCCCTTGCTTGCTATTGTGATCCCCCGAGTGCGTCTCCAACTGGGGAGGGGTTGACGACATGGAAGGAGTCTCGTTGGCAGCGCGTTTGCCCCTCCCCGCGCAAGCCCCCGCATCACGCCGCGGGGGGGCATTGGGGTGGGCCGGGGGGGCCGCTCGCCCACTCCCCTTCCCGCTAGGTCCCGCCAACGACAGCAGTGGGAGGGGACTGAGGCTCATCCCGCTCGTCGCCATACCCACCCCTGACACGGGGCGGCCACTGGGCGTGGGCCTATAGTCGCTAAGAGTGGGCTGTGTCAGGCGCGAGCCGACGCACTTTGAGGAGTTCGAAGACGCGAAGTCGCGCGTCTCCGAGGCGTGCGGAGGTGCCGGGGCGGATGTCGGGAGTCGCGTCTGGGACACAACCCCGGAGTGGTTGAGCAGGTTCGGCAGCGGATCGCCGGGCCGGGGGGGGCCCTCCGACAGCAACAGCCCAGACGCTTCCTTGAGGCGCTTGTCATACCGAATGGGGTCATTCGTCGAGATTGCGGGCACACCATTCTGAAGAAGGGGAAGGGACCAAGTAGAAAGGGGATCAAGGGACGACCGCAAATTGGATTTTGAATGTAGATGCTTTCCTTTGCTAATTGTCCTAACTAGGTTGTTGTGGTTCGGTACTGAGTCAAATGTCGCCGCCTCGTCGGCGATAATAGGGGGCGTCACCTGTTTACCTACAACCACCTCACTTGGATTCAGCGATGACAACGACATGGCAGAATTCGGAATTTGATCATAAAACTCCTCATTGGTAGACACTTCGTCACTTTTGGAGTGGTTTGTTGTGTACACACCTTTGTTTACCACTACTTTTGAAGAAGTAGGAGTAGGGTCACGGTTATGAATCGGTGCAGACATCGGCGGCGGCGTCTTGACTGTGTGGTCTCCAGGAGATAGAGTTATCCGAGGAGATGGGCAGGAGGTGTGTAGATTCTTCTGGAACATCAATAAAAAAAAGAATCTTTAATAAATTTAAGTAATGAAAACTATGCAAATATGTCAAAATTAACTTCTGCTTTATGTAAGTATGCGGCACTTGTATCTAATAAGCTAGTGCAGAAAATGATATCTATATGTTTGTAGATAGCTTCCTTATATAAAAGAATTCACAGCCACACTAACATGGAAAAGAAGATAGCTCTATTTAAGATATTAACATTTATTTAAAGTGATCTTTATTAAAATATTTTGATAACGATATTACTGAAGTTCCAAATGCACACGATCACCCTTCCTCACAAAAAAAAAAGGTGTCCAAAGGTTCTAAATCCCTTTAAAAAGATATTCCCCGTGTATGCAACTGAACAAGCATACAATGAGACATGCCATGTATTTATTACTTTTTTTTTGTATATTTAGATATATGTATGTGGATGTGTTTGGGGGAGGGGGGAGGGGAAGGGATGATGGTGAGATTCTTTCGTGCAAATTAAAGTATTTTTTTAATTTTCAGTAGGCAAACCTGAAAATTGAAATATTTCTCTATTCTGAATTATCCGCCACAAATACCAATTTACATTCGATTTTATTATTATTATCTTCTTAGCTTTTTTTTGAAAAGAGGATAAAAATAATTAGAATTTTTAAAAATAAGAGAAGGAGACGGTTCCTATTTACTGTCAATCTTTAATTAATATCTATACCTGCAATGCCATTATTGCTGCTTGGGTGCTGAAGGTTTTATTCCCCCACTAATGCTTATGTTTGTATAGAAATTTCAAGGAATTCACACAAGGCAAATATGGGACGAGAGGGAAACAAAAGATCTATAAAATGTATTACATAAGTGTAGTTTACCCTTTCCTTGTTTCTGACGTTTGCGAACCTACCCAAATCTTGAAACAAACCGTGCTGGGAAGCAAACAAAAACTCTCAAACAGGAAGACGGCACACATATGCTCTATAGTGAAAAGGTGTATATATATATATATATATTTATAAATATATATGTGTGTATGTAAGAAAGACAATGAGTTCTCAACCGATTACCAAAGATGGAAGTAAGGATATAAAAATACCCTGTCGAAAATATACACCAAGAGATTGAAAACGAGTAAAAAGGCATAAAAAGAGCGATTATTAAAAATCTTCAACAAAACTCAAAGTGGTGCAGTGCTTCTCCAAAAATAATTTCACTAGTGATCGTTGTGAATTTTGAATACGTCCAAGTTCAGCCTTAGTGAACGCCTTTTGCACTATGACTTCAATTTGGGTGCTGTCCATTGGTTCGGCCCCACTATTGGCGGTAGCCTCCACGTGATGGTCTAACATTATTTTATTATCTAAGACAATAAAAGTCGGAATCGTCTGAACGCCAAAGAATTCATAAATGGGTGTAGCCAAATCCATATCCGCCTTGAGAAAAACATGCATGCTTTCGGGCATGTCTTCGGTAATAATCTGTGGCATCGCACCTACTATGCGCATACACGGCGGGCACCAACTCGCTCCGAAGTAAAGCAAAGTTTGCGATTTCGACGAGGTATCGCGCGCCCAAGACGCCCTCACGCTCGCCATAACCGTGCGAAAGAGGTGCGGCATCGTGTAGACGGGTGTGTAGAGCGCGATGGAGTGAACCGCGCTCACGGCATGGATGGGCTTCACCACCACCGGCCCCCCTCGCGCGGCCATCGCCATGGCGAAATCCTCGCGGGAGGCAGGGGTCGGCCGCGTGGAATGTCCCTCAGGGGGGGTTGGCGGGTATTCCGCGTGATCCCCTCCCCCGGCTCGCCAGAGTACCATTGCGGGGAATAAAAAAGGTTCCCGACAGCCCTCCCCCGCGGAGTCAGCTAGTGGAAGGTTCAGAACAGCGTCGACTCGCAGCAGCCCCCCGAGGCGCTGCGCGAGGTGCTCGCTGGCCTGCAGAAGCTGCCCTGAAAGAGGCTGGCTCGCGTGCTCGTCCGCGGCGGTTGGCGGCCATTCACGAGGGGGGGCCGCCCTGCGCGGGGTGGGGGCTGATGGACGCGCAATCAACAGTGCCTCCTCCTCGTCGTTGTCGTCGTTTTTGACTTCGCGGCCGTTGTGATCCTTTTCGTTAGTTTTGTTCCTTTCCTTGTCCTCGTCCGCCGCGGACTTGTATTCCCGCGGCGGGAGCTGAGTGAGGTCGAGGGTGAAGATACGGATGTGCGCGAGCCGCGCGGTGTGCTCGTTGACGAGCTCGGCGAGGCTTGTCCTGCCGTTGTGCAGGACCACCAGGACACTTTCCCCGTTACACAGTCGCAGAGGGGGGTCCCCGGACCCCTCCTCTCGGACCCCCCCTTTCCGGTTCCCAACAGGGGAAGGGAAGGGGGAGGAGGGGACGAGGGCGTGGCCGTTCACTTTGGTATAGCGTGCAGGGGACAGGGGGGGGCTGTGGAGGAGCTCGGCCAACTGGGCGATGCTGCGCAGGGTTGTGATGGCCCCGCGGGTGCGCGGGAAAGGGGCCTCGCGGAACGAGGGCGGAGCTCGCGCAAAGGGCATGGGGGGGGTTAAGACGCCAAGGGAGTCCCGCTGATCCCCGACGGACCCCCCTTCCGAGAGATCCGGGGATACGCCGTGGACGGAATCCGAGTTGCCCTCTTCCGCATCGTGCGGTGTGAGGAAGAGTGGTTTGACCGCACCCGTCTTGACCGTCACAGGATCGCTGGTATTCCTAATTGGGTCCATTTCCAGGCCTTTACTTCCACTGATGGACGCCTCGGATGCTACTAGGGGCGCCTTCGTCTGAGATGAGATCGGCTCGAACCCTGCTTCCTCCTCGTATGCTAAGTCGATCTTCATATAATTCCCGAAGGCAATCGATTGATCTTCTGCACGGTGCCGCTTTCTAATTCGGTCCGTGTGAATTGCATTGGCAGTGACGTTTGAGGAGAGCATCGTCGGACTTGAATGATCAAGAAGGATAACAAAGCAAGCAGAAGCCCAAACGATGGTTCCCTTTTGAGGTCTGCGTTTTAGACACTGTCGATACAAGAGTGCTGAGCAAAGAAGTTAAATTGTGTCGTCTTGAAAAAGTGTCCCTTTTCTTTTTCTTCGTCAAGAGAGTTGCCAAGTGGCGTGACAAAAAACTCGAAAATGATAATCTTGGTGCCGATAAATTTAAATGTTCGGTAAATAAACAACCAATCCCCGTTTATCTTGTATGATTAGTTTGAAGAACTTGGAAAAAAAACTCTCTAAAATAATGAATTTTTGAAAGGTATGTTTGTCGGAATGAGTGAATGTACCCTCTAAAAATCTAAGTCAAATTGTGTAATTGGAAAGGTTTGACTTCTTGAAGTGAAATAAAAAGAAGGAAGACAACAAATTGTTTTAAAGAATGAATAATGAAAATAAGGGAAAAAATACATACTGAGGAATGAATGAAAGAAATCATTCATAGAGGAACGAATTCTTCCTTTATACTTTACTTAATACTTTCTTTACCTTTTGGTCCACACAACTAAAAAAAAGGTCCTCCAAAGAAACGACGTTATATTTGCCACTTCTTACTATTTTTTTTTACCATTAATGAGCGCTCTTTGTTAACAATAAGAGGTAGAAACATCACGACGAAAAGGAAGCGCTTTTACAGTTTGGTAAAGATTTTTTTTTTATATAAGGGCAGAAGTTACAGAAATTCGAGGAATATAAAGAAAATGGAGGCGAAAAACTTCTTTGAAAAGACTTTGAAAACACAAACATGTATAAACAGGGAAGGAAAACTTTATTACTTGTTGTCATTGTTTTCTTTTAAGTTCAATTAAGTTAATAAACAAAAACGTGATATCCTACATAAGTGTGGTGTGTGTGTGAGTGTGTGTGTGTGTGTGCACAAATGTTTGTGGAAATGACGAAATATATCTCAAACAAAAATAGATGAGGAAAATACGCTTCTGCCTATGTCATATCATTGGCGTGCAAAAAGTTGAATCAAGGGAATAAAAAGGAGGTGACTAAAAAGGAAGGAATAAAAAGTGCAACTTATTATGATTTTTTATCCTCTCTTTTTTTACACTTCCCTTAAAACGTTAGTCATTTCTATAGGGGTTAAAACAAAACTTGATACCTTTATGCTGAATTCAAGTAATACCAAAACAATTCATACTAGCTTTCCTTTTCTTCCTCACCCTCGTTTGGTTTCTCTATATAAGTGTAAACACAAGATAGTTTTTTTTTGGCTTTAAAATACGGGCAAATTTCCAAAGATGGGGATGATGCAAGCGCTTCAAATGAGTCTGTGTTCCCCATAAAATTACAATAAGAGAGGAGAAACATCAAATACGAGAAGTATTTATTATTCGCTTACCACAGATCTTTTTTTCCCTTCTGCAGGTTCTTCCTTCCTTGTGATAGTTTCGCACCACTGATATAGATGTTAAGAGAAAGTAAATGAAAGTAAAGGGATTCACAAGAGCGGCTCACTGTTATAACGAAGATTCTGATCAGGAAGAACAAATAGGAATAAACCTACTATGAGCTTCCGGTAAATACCTTTATCTTGTATTTCGCTTTATTTAAAAAAATTCAAGGGGACATATTTCATTCAAAAACGTTAACCCTACTTTTTTTTTCTTGTTTAGAACTCAATATTGTTGAGAGTCTCAGCTATTTAACCTTTCTCCAATACAGTCTTAAACAAATACGAAACCGCGTCATCGAAGGGAAGACCTTTACAAACTTAGTGAAAGGAAACCTATGAACATATTTATATAACTTTTTACTTCCCCTCACATTTCTTCATCTAAAAAAAAGGTTTAATAATTATTTCTTTGCCTTTTTTCCCTATCCAAATTGATGTCAAAATTCATTTCTTTCTTTTTATTTGAATAAGCGATCTTGTGTGCGGAAAATGATTCAGGGTCACCTGAAACTCGCTTTTAGTATATAAAAATAAACAAAATAGATGAAACCCTATACAAATCAAACAAACAAACAAGCTAGTGGGAAAAAACAAAAATATACTTAAATTAATATCTTGAAAACGAGCCAACACCGCACAAGTTTTAACGAAAGAGTAAACAAAAATATGATAACTGAAGATCCTTCCAAATAAAAAGGAATACAAATTGCATAAAAAACGAGTTGAAAGCACGTGGAAAAGACATCACCCATCACACCGACAATAGTTACAGCAATAAAAATCAAGTAGTCGTCTTTACATAAAACTTAGGTATTTGTCAGCTTGTCGAATAGAGCAAAATAGAAAACACACTGTCGGCACGTACTTTTTTTTTTTTAATAAACAGCTAGCGGGAAAATTGAGCGTAATGTGATGTAGCTATTCTTCTGATGCCTACACAGCATTTTTTTTCTTATCAACAAGCCAAACCCTAAGTCACCTTTATTATGTGTATCTCCTGTAGTGTCCTTAAGTATGCGGATACACGACTTCGAGGTGGATGAAAAAAGTCAATCCCTCATTTTCGTTTTCTTTCTTCATTTCACACATTTTCTTCAATCATACATTTCTTATTCATTTTTCTCTTTCCTTATGCGACGTAGTACTCTTTGTCGATCTCTGCTGGTATCGGCTTGATTTCTGTATCCAATTCCTGTTCAATTCGGTAGACATTATGACGATCCTCGTAGGTCACGAAATTAATAGCAAGGCCAAGGTGTCCGAAGCGCCCGGAGCGACCAATGCGATGAAGATAGGTCTCCGCATAGCGAGGGAAATCAAAGTTGATGACGACATTTACGGCTTGGATGTCGATACCGCGAGTGATGAGATCAGAGCAGACCAGATTACGACAATTCCCGGCGCGGAAGTCGTGAAAGACGCGATTGCGGTGCTGCTGCTGCATGCGGGCGTGAATATAGTAACAGCTGTAACCCAGCTGGGTGATCTTCTTCGCCAGCAACTCCACTCGATTCACGCTGTTGCAGAAAATGATGGATTGGTTGATCTGCAGTTTGTTAAAGAGTGTGTTGAGGCAGTGGATCTTCTGTCGTTCTTCTAAGAAGGCATAATACTGAGTTACACCCTTTAACGTGAGTTCTTCCATTAGGTTAATCTCGTACGGATGATCAAGGTGACGTTCGGCAAAATCCTTCACTGTGACGGGGAACGTAGCTGAGAAAAGCAAAGATTGGTGATTTTTTGGCAAGTAATTGTAGAGGTCTTCAATTAGGTTAGAAAACTCAGGGGAGAGAAGTTTGTCAGCCTCGTCCAGGACGAAAATGTGGCACCGATCCAGACGGGCGGCGTTTTTGCTAGCAAGATCCACCACGCGGCCAGGCGTTGCCACGAGAATATGCACGGAGTTGGTCAAACGCAGAATGTCATCCCGGAGAGTGGTGCCGCCCGTCGTGACCATCACTTCAAGACGGGGGATGTGTTTGCCGAGCTCTTTGGTGACTTGGGCGGTTTGCAGGGCGAGTTCACGCGTGGGGACCATGAGAAGGGCCTGGATGTAGTGTTCACGGGTGTCTACCTTTTCAAGCACGGGTATAACAAAAGAGGCAGTTTTCCCAGTACCATTCTTTGCACGGGCCAGGACATTTTTTCCCTGGAGGGCCACCGGGATCGCTTCTTCCTGCACAGGGCTTGGCTTCTCAAAACCTTTCTCAAAAATGCCCATTAGCAGCTCGCGGCGCAAAGCATATTCATCAAAAAAAACGTTACGACGGGATTCCACATCCTCGGTTTTCTTGCGCGTATCTTCCTTGGGTTTGACAAGGGACTTCTTCCAGTCATCATCGGCCATGGATGTTTTCTTGACTTACATGATTTATTATTTTCTTATTGTTTCTAAAGAAAAAGAAGATACTCTATTTCTTCTTCCTTATGGTGCGTAGTCGGATAATTGTATCGCTTAGACTTTTTTCCTTTGGAAAGGTGATAAAAATTCAGAGTGGGAATTTTGTGAATCAGAAGGTCATGACAATAATGCAGAATAACGACATTGTAGATATAAAGGATTCATTGTGATGTTTCTCTTTTCATTAGCGTTTACAACAATGAATATTTGTCATTTTCATATTGGGAATGAAAAGTGGGGAAACACATTGGGATAAATGATAGACATTATTATTTTTATGAATATGTATTACTGCAAAGTATCACAGGCGTCAAGCATAGATCGCTTATAATGAAGCCTTTTTGCATTTCCCCCCTCCCTCCACCCTTTAAGTGGCTGAACTGCTCATTAAGGAGAGCGTATTTTGTTTCTTTATTAATGAATTACCTTCCCTTTCGTGAAGTCGACTTCGAGGTCACCCATAATAAGTTTTGCTGCGTTAATGAACACGTCTATATGATATTTACCCTCTTTACGCTTCAGCACAGGTCCTTCAACCTGGACCTCGGCGGAAATTGATCCATCCGCATTCCGACACGCTTTCTGTTTTACAAAGAGAGGATGTCGTTTTCCCAGCGAAAGATGAATTCCCCACTGTCGCTCGAACGAAGTTACATCCGAAAGGATATGAAGAAGTCCAGTGAAAGGATTTAAGCCAATACCTAGCTCTCGCACCCAGCATTCGCCTTCCGACTGACGCACTAGGCTCAACATGTCAATGAACTCATCGGGGGCATCTTCGCTGACGCTTGCCACGTGTCCACCCTCAATAGTCATCAAAAAAGGTTTAGGAATTGATAGAGTGACATGCTTAAAGTGATCTGGAAACGCAAAGACTTCGCAGGTACCGTTTAATTTTGAAAGGTCGAAGGACTCGGTGATCACCTCCCCAATCGGAAAAGTGCCGCCGATGCTTGCTGTTATACGAGAACCCGTAGCCTCGGTCGCTGAAGTATTGCAAGTTCGCCGCGTAAGGGTACTGTGCTCGTCATCATCGCTGTCGATTTGGGGTGCTTTGTTAGGTTTCTGACCCTTTTGCTTGAGCATAGCGAGATACTCTTTCTTTTTCAAGGCCCCACGTTCTACAGTCCCCGTGGTCGGAGAGGGCTCTGGCGAGGTGCTCCCCCCCGCCCCATCGAGGAGTTCGTCGTCCGTAGTGTTGGCAAAACGTCGGCGATGGGCGTGCACGTCGTTCCGCGTTGCCTCCCCCGCCGCTGGGTAATGCCCTGTATTCATCAAGCAGCTTTCCATCCCACCGGAAAAGACGAGGACATGCTCAGGGTCTTCTTTGCACACGATCCTTAGGGGTTCGCCCACCCCGCAGATTGGCTCATCGCCAAGTACCCCACCGCGGTTCCCAAGAGCTTGTTTCTTTCCCCCCACCCCATCTTCCAACCCTTTCCAAGCTATGGAACCAGACTTCAGAAGCTCCCAAACGGAGGTGTCCTGAATACAATTTTTTAATGATTCCGGTGAAGGCAAAGAAACTTTTGCGTCCTCACCATTTTCCCAGGATGGTCGCCTCCATGATAAGCTGTCTATGGAATCGGCAATCGCTTTTCCGATCGACTCCACGATGCTCGGCCGCAGGGAGCAGGATCGAGCGTAGCTGTAGACTTGGTCCTCTTTCAGGGCTTCGACAAAACGACCGTCAGCCGCCAGGGCATCCGCCTTGACGCTCATGCACTCCAAATGGCAGTGCTCAGCCACGCGCAGGCCCATGTCAAAGAGGCTGAGACGTAGCCGGTACTGCTTGAGCTCGGTCTGAAAGGCATTCCGCTGAATTAAAATAACGCCAAGTAGCTCGCGGAGCGGGGCTTTGGGACCGCGAAGCGAGGCGTAAAGCTCCGCGGCCTCATTGGGCGATAATTGGCGTACGAGCGGGCAACTTTCGTTATCGTCAAGCGCCTCTTTTTCATCCGCCGAGTGCGGAGCCCCCGAGGCGGAAAGCGGCTGCAGATACGCGGCCAACTCGTTCAAAGTGCGCAGGAACTTCTCATCCGCCCAACGTGCCGGCGCGGCAGCCGCGTCTGAGGTGGCCTCGGCTTGGGAATGGAACGCTGCCCCCTCCCCGCAATGGCGAAAAAAGGACTGCAGACGTTTCACATCCTTAACAAAGCTGAACCGTGAGAAAGGCACGATGGAGTATGAAATCGAACTCCCACCGTCGGCGCGCACTCTAACATTAGAGGGGGAAAACAAGCTGGATGACCCACAGGGCGTCGGCACTGCGTGATTCATCGAGATTAAGGTGTTCCCACGGCTCGCCTCCTCCAGCTGGTTGGCATTCTTGGCGCGGTTGTTGTACTCCTCAAGGATCTGGTGATAGCCCTCAATCAGGGCTTTCTGCTGGACGCACGGGGTGCTATCAACAACAAGCAGCACATGCGGAACAGCACCTTTGAATGCGTCGATTCGCAGGCTCTCGAAAAGCAGGGTACGCGCACATTCACGAGCGGCATGAATAGTTGTTATTGCGCTCATATTGAAATATATCACGATCTAAGACAGAAAATCGTTCCGATTGATACAAATATGGGTATATGAGAATATGAGATATTTTATTTTTAATTTTAGAGAAATGTTATTTCACTCATTTATTATTTTTGAGGGGAATTGTTTCAAATAGAGTAACAAAGAACAGTAAAGAAATGTAGGAAGATTGTCGAAACACCTACACCCCCGCTGAATAATCATTACAAAAAAAAGCCAACAGATTAAAGGATTTTTTTTTGTAAGTCGTAAACTAATCTTAATAGAAACTTTACTATTTGTCGATTCATATCTCTTTAATTATCACATGAAATGCAAGAGCAATATTAGGGCATCCCCACTTTTCCTCTCCTTGGCGCTTACCGGCTTTTTTTTCTAGCGAACCTACCAAAAACGCCACCACACCGGGTAATGGGCGCTCAAGTCGAAAGGAAGTTGATGCCGTTCCGATAGCTCCATCGCCCGGCGGTAGAGCATTCGATGGGATAGATGTGGGGCTGGTACGCTACCATCGACCCCGCCCTTCTTTAACCCCTCACGGGCAAACGCACTGACAGAACCGCCACGGGCCAAAACCACGACATTCGAAGAGGAAGAGTTCATAAGGAGGTAGGTGTTGGCCTCCCCGAAGATTTGTCGGCACTGCTGAAGAAATGGCCGATCACGCGCGGGAAGGTTAAACGCGACAACGCCACAGGAAGAAAGCGACGCCCGGCACAACCTCAGAAAGTCCGCTGAAGCCACCCCGTCCGTGAGATCGCTTCCCAGAAAGAGATCAACAAAAAGGAGATCAAATAGTCGTTCCCGTGATCGTGGCGAAAAAGACGGAAGGAGTGGGCATGATGACATGTTTGATAATTTTCCCCTGTCGACAATTTTTGAGGTCGGAACAAACGAAGAGGAGACAGGGGAACCACAGGCGAGTGGTTCTTGTGTGGTAGCAATCGGCCTACCCGTCATCAGGTGATCCGACCGAGGTGGAGATAAATCCGCTATTTGGTCGTGATGCTTCTGTAAGAAAACGATTGCGTCTTCAAGATGTACTTGAGTGGTTGGCGAGCCGGAAGAGAACCCATCTTCTGATGCTTTGGGAGACCCTAGCGCTAATTCGTGCTGGTTTAGTGTATCCCAAAACCCAAGATCCTGCACAGCTGCCCGAATGCACATGGGTTCGACCTCCACAAGATCCAAGTGGTGAATGGAGCGACTAAAGTAATGCAGAAGAAACAACGGCAACGAACCACCGCCGAGGCCGAGAACCCCCACCCGCAGAGGCGGTATCGACGACGGCAACAGTAGGAAGGCGCTTAGCATCAAACGTAGGTAGTCGGCGCCCAGGTAGGAGGGGTCTGCCTCGCAGTTCGTCCCAGGTATAGCCGAAAAAGGTGCACAACGAACAAGAGACTGGTGCGTGCTGCGGTCAGCCAGATGCCGCAAAGCGTCCGACACCGTCCTCGCATCGTTTATTTCGCTATAGACCCCTGATATAGACTGGGAGGGCTCTAAAGACAAACTAACGTACTTCTCCGTGTGAGGAGGCCAACCCGCAGAGGCTACCAGGTCCTGTTTGGGCGGGACATTTTCACTACTCAAATTGTTATTGAGCACTCCAACCTGGTTCCCAGTTTCATTTAGTTTGGCGTTTGCTTGATGATGATGATGCGCTCCAAAGTTTGGGGATGCAGCTTCGTTTGCTATGATACGAATGTCCTGCAGATCGTCATTGCAGCTCCGGTAATCTGAGTTGATTTTTTTCAAAAAATTCGGGGACGATGACTCCGTAAGGTTTCCGCCTTCACGTCTTGTAAAGCGTTGATTATCCAGGAAGTAAGTATCGACGTTGTGTGTCTCGTTGGAGAATAGAAGCATGAAACGATGCAGGCGGAGACGCATCCCCGAAAAGAAAACAGCAGCAGACGAGGGGGGCACCATGTTCCCTTTGTTCACATTGCTCATTATTTCGTTGTCGACAGAAACCGCACTACTTAGATTTGGCGAGTTGTTCTGGAATAGCTGAACCGTGACTGGAGGTGTTGGCCTTCTCACATAATGGTTCCTCACGACCGCATCCATCCCTTTTAGCATATGGCATGGATATCGCGCGTGTTCCTCAACAAGGTCCACGAAAGATGGGTTGAAAAATGGGGTCTGATTTCGACGAAAACAATATGCATCGAATAGAAAATGTCCCGCTAACAAGGTTATCCCACCAGTTAGATACAGAATCCATTGGTAAGAAGGTAGTTTAGGAATGTAGGGCATAATCTATACGTATCGGAGAAGGGCTGCTATGTTCTTACTCTTTTCCTCACCGCATACACTCTTCCAGCTTCAATGTGATTTTCTTTCAAAAAAAAGGAAGTGAAATGCTTATCGCCCACACACTCTCTCCCAGATTACGAGCGCTATATTAAGTAAGGATTGGTATTATAAACATGTGTGCATGCATGTATCTAATGTTTCTTACCTTTTCTATAAAGTAAGGCAAAGGGAAAATAGAATTTTCCGGTTTACTATCTGATTGAGTACTTTCTGCGTTTATTTCAATCCATCATGGATCATGTATTTCGTTTTTTGTAGTAAAAAGGATGAATGCGGTAATTACATATCAAGCTATTCAAATTAGTTGTTCTTCTTTGAGCCCTTTTTAGCTTCGTCTAGACGAATACGCCTCACAATACGATAGTGAATCTTTGAAAACGTAGCAAGTCCAAGACGCAATAGTCCTGAAAACGCGACCTGGGTTAGTAGGGCACGCTTACTCGTCGCTGGCTCGATGCCTGCAGAACCCCAACTAAGCAGGATTCCATCCCCTCCAAGAGTAATGTCGAATCGATAGTGCTCAATACCAGAAACGATTGCTTCAGCCATATCAGCAGCACTGAATGGTTTAGACCCGCCGAAGGACGAAATAGCTTGACATTCAGGACTTTTTATCTTTTGTTCTTCCTCGTAGCCTGGTGTATCAATATCAGGTGGGCTGACTACCTGCACGCGCACACCTAAGCTACTGTTTTCCATATCCACGCTGTGCGCCAAGGCACGCAACGCCGCCTTTGTGGATGCATAGAGCGAATAACCCGCAATCGGCGCGCGTGCCACCATGCTGCTAGTCAGCACCACTCTCCCCCGCTTTGCGGCTAACATGCTGGGTAGCAGCGCCCACATCATACGCAGGCTGCCGTAATAGTTCACCTCCATCATCACCTCCGCGTCGGCGATGGTGCACTCGGTGAAGCGCATCGGCAGCGCAAAGCCGGCATTGCAGATGAGAAGGTCGATCATTTCGCCGTCGCAGAGGCGCTCGGCGGCCAAAACGCCCTCCCGCACGGACTCTTCGCGCGCGACGTCCATCTGGACGTAGTGGACGCGCGTGGGGCTGCCGACCGCGGCGGCCGCCGCCTGGACATCCACAACAGCCTGCCGGAGCGGCTCCTCTCGTCTGGCCGCGAGGATGAGGCACCGCACGCCGCGCCGGGCGAGGGTCTTTGCCGTCTCCAACCCAATCCCCGCGCTGCCGCCGACGAGGAGGACGACGGAGCGCTGGAGCGGCCATCGCGGGACGGCCTGCACGGCCCAGCAGGCCACCAACACGACGAGGCCTAACACCAGCGCGAGGAGATCCACGAGGTAGACCAGCCTCATCCCTACGGCGTCAGGTCGCTTTTGAGAGAAAAGGGTAGATGGCTCTAACAGAGTCCTATTTGGACTCTGGGAAGGCGTGAGAAGGGTGAAATGCCCTGATTGCGTTCACCAATGGGGGAGCAAGGAAGACTAAAGATGTTACAGCTTGCAATGGCAGTCAAAGAAGGGAAAGGTGTTGGGGGTTAAAAGTGATGTAACATGATTGGGAAATGGTTGGGACAGGTGGACTTGTGGAAACCAACAACAATTACAGAAAATATCCGAGGATATATCGAACGTTTTGATGGATTTCATTTTTTTTTAATATTGAACATTGATTGTACGCAAAGAAAAAAATACTATATTAGAGTGTTTATTTTATAGTCATTTTGTATTTAATACTACTTCACAAAATGTTAGATAGCACTCCTCAGGCCCTAATGCCTAAAAAAATTCAAGAAAGCATCTTACTAACGAAATCCGATATCACAATATTTAAAAAATTTGCATTAAATAATTATAATACATTTAGAACTAAGAAAAATGTATTGTTGGTATGTTAGGGAGACGTTCAGCGTATCGGTATTAAATTTTCTTCTCTTTTGAAGACCATTGAAAATGGATAACAACAAAAAAAAGAATCAAAATATTAGACTTGCCCTTTTCAATTGTATAAAAGGAAATAAATAGTAGAATTTAGGCAAATACCTATATTTTGATTTTGCAGTAAGCTATGCAACATGAATGCTGTAAATTATGGAAAAGGAAGGTTATGGTGTACGTAAATATTCTTAGATACTTCGAGATTTAAACAT